AAGAGAAAGAGAGAGACGAGAGAGAGAGAGAGAGAGAGAGAGAAAGAGAGAAAGAGAGAAAGAGAGAAAGAAAGAAGAAAGAGCAAGAAGAAATCGCTTTAAAAGTGTGCTGTTGATCATCCTTAAAATTCTTAAGACTTCTGGAAAAACGATCATTAGTTAAGGAATGCAAACAAACACCCACTTTGACACAAAGACAATGAAGTTCACTTCAGACATTTATTTACACCTTCTGGTGACAAAGTGAGATCCAGAGGACAATTATGGAAAACTATCCACAAATATAATGAGAGCAGAAAGTTAAAAACAACAATAATGGATGAAATCCAGTATACCCATCCTTTGCACAGGGTATAATGGTACGGCTGGCAAGGCTGTCATGATTGACAATTCAATTTACAATATTTTACTCAATTTCAGTTACAGTATTTGCTTCCTATCACCTTTAGTTTTTATACGTCCATAATTTCTTCTCTTGGACACTACTGATTACATTAATAGCTGTAAGTGCCACTGGAAAGAATATATATATTTTTTTTATATCTGTTGAACTATAGGATTATAGTACCTGTCATGATTGTATGATGTATAATAACTAATATAATTGGTGGACTGGCTTTTCTAAGGTTAGTGTCTTCTTTCTTGAAATGTTTCAACTGATATATGATGATATTCATGGACTCCATGACCACCTGCACCATGTAGTTCATCCAATAAGTTATTGTAGGCACTTTAGATGGTAATTTTTCAGAATACCTTTGTATATCTGATTGTGATGATTTTGGTATTGAAGGTTTCTTCTCACTCTCAACTATCTAAATATATTGAAATTATGCCATGGAAACCCCCAATACCTAAAATCTTGGCCTTGATAGCAAGGGAAGGCATGAATGGTACTAGGGAAATTATGGGGTAAATTACAAATAATATACAGAAAATTGGTCAACATATAATCATATGCAGGAGGCTATGCCCATAGCAAACCAACCATGGGGTCTGCTGTCCCCTAACCCAGCTAGCATCAGACAGCCTCAGCACTGGGTGCTCCCACATCAGTCATACACTCTACCCTGCTGTGAATAAGTGGAGGATATTTTGTCTTCATTGTGGTAGTTCCCCATTTATGGGGTTGCAGGGGGCCCAGCCCCCTACATTAGACACTACAGTGCCTGATTCTGAGTATATTATTATTTCACACCCAAAATTTCCCTGGTATCTTTCATGGTTAATTTTTAAAATGGCTGAAACAAATTAAACATCAAAGATCATATAGCATATGGTAAAGTATTGTGGTGAAAAGGGTAAAAATAAGTTAATGATTAGGATAAATGTGTTAAATGTCAAAGGTTAGTGAGTGTTTAATGTAATGAGGGGGTTGCAAATGAAGAAAATTGGAGACTTAGAAAGGGAAGGGTTAAGGGCATTTTAGCGATGAATGAAAGGGAGTGTTCTGTAGTTGGGGAATCTACAGGAACATTGTTATTAGGAAACTCGGGAACAACTGGAAAAATTTAAATCTTCAGTTACAGTATTTGCATCACCTTTAGTTTTTATACGTCCATAATTTCTTCTCTTGGACACTACTGATTACATTAATAGCTGTAAGTGCCACTGGAAAGAATATATATATTTTTTTTATATCTGTTGAACTATAGGATATATAGGTACCTGTCATGATTGTATGATGTATAATAACTAATATAATTGGTGGACTGGCTTTTCTAAGGTTAGTGTCTTCTTTCTTGAAATGTTTCAACTGATATATGATGATATTCATGGACTCCATGACCACCTGCACCATGTAGTTCATCCAATAAGTTATTGTAGGCACTTTAGATGGTAATTTTTCAGAATACCTTTGTATATCTGATTGTGATGATTTTGGTATTGAAGGTTTCTTCTCACTCTCAACTATCTAAATATATTGAAATTATGCCATGGAAACCCCCAATACCTAAAATCTTGGCCTTGATAGCAAGGGAAGGCATGAATGGTACTAGGGAAATTATGGGGTAAATTACAAATAATATACAGAAAATTGGTCAACATATAATCATATGCAGGAGGCTATGCCCATAGCAAACCAACCATGGGGTCTGCTGTCCCCTAACCCCAGCTAGCATCAGACAGCCTCAGCACTGGGTGCTCCCACATCAGTCATACACTCTACCCTGCTGTGAATAAGTGGAGGATTATTTGTCTTCCATTGTGGTAGTTCCCCATTTATGGGGTTGCAGGGGGCCCAGCCCCCTACATTAGACACTACAGTGCCTGATTCTGAGTATATTATTATTTCACCCAAAAATTTCCCTGGTATCTTTCATGGTTAATTTTTAATGGCTGAAACAAATTAAACATCAAAGATCATATAGCACTATGGTAAAGTATTGTGGTGAAAAGGGTAAAAATAAGTTAATGATTAGGATAAAATGTGTTAAATGTCAAAGGTTAGTGAGTGTTAATGTAATGAAGGGGGTTGCAAATGAAGAAAATTGGAGACTAGTAAAGGGAAGGGTTAAGGGCATTAGGCGATTGAATGAAAGGGAGTGTCTGTAGTTGGGGAATCTACAGGAACATTGTTTAAGGAAAACTGGAAAAAGAGCTATTATGAAACAATCAACGTGCAATACAGATTGAGAAGGCTGTTGGATAAGTAGCATGAGAAGAATCTGGGGGATGAGATAAGGGGACTGGAGAAGGTGGTGAAGTATTAGGAAAAGTGTCAGGAGGAGAGAGATCTAGAGAAGAACTCTGCTACAATGGATGGAATTCACATGAGTATCCAAGTGGGAGAGGTAGGGATAATGATGAACAAAGAAGGAATGGTGCAAAAGGAAGAGGGGATGGGGTGTGTTGGGAAAGGATGGAGGAAGAGGGGTTGGGGGAACTTGGTGGGGAGGAGGATGGATATTAGCAAATACTTTGAATGTAGACTAAATGGGAATAGAAGGATTGGAGGGTGGATGAGGGAGCAGACCATTCTCTTGGTTCATATCTAGGAATTTTTCAATGTCTTCAAATTTTCTGAAGGGGAGTTGGGTGGGGGGGTATGAGAAACAAAAGTTCTCTTGTGAGGAGGAGAAGAGGGCATTGATGTTTGAGGAGAAGAGGGAAAGGACAGTGTAGGAGAGGATATGGTAAGTGAAGATGTAGTGGAATGTTTAACTTGTCTGGTGCAATAGGTTAAGTGAGGAGGAGGGGTAGGCATCAGAGAAGTGGTATAGATTGGAGTATCTGGATTTAGATTTGACAAGGTATTTGATTGAGGGAGAGGGAAGCAGAGGTAGGATGGTTTAACCCACTGGACCCAGATAATGTTGTAGTCACATCATGGAAAAACTTGACCCGAAGGGCAGGTGACATGAACATGCTGTCAACCGGGTAAATTGGCCACATCCTGGGTGATGCAAACTGCTGTCATGAGCGAAGGCCAGGGTGATGGAAAAGACTCACCACAAATGCAGAAATCTCTTGGAGTGTGATTTGACTCATTTGATATTTAGAAGAGGGCTTTAGCATTATTATCATCGATAAACGAACGTGGAATGTAACATGAGTAAGCAGTGACTGGAAGAGTGCCAGCTCCATGGAGGACGCCTTTTCCATGCTGCGCACCGTATTCCTGGCCACTGTGACAGGCAGCAAAGGTTCTATTACATAAAATTGAAAATTTTGATAAAATGAGATATATGACATAAATAACCAAATGTTCCATATTTTCTTTTTTGCACTGAGTTATTTACTACATAGAGAGATGATATGGAGTCTGTACAATAAAAATAAGTAATTATCATCTGGATAAAGCAAATCAAAAGGCAAATATGGGCAGTATAAAATAGCAATAAAGCTAAAAAAGTTTAAACAAAATAACTTTTCAAAGGGGAGGCATAGAGTCTTATCACCACACATGGGTGTTTGTGTGCGCCCAGCCTACACGCCCCAGGATGTTGGCCACTTACGTAACCCACTGCCTAGGTTTTCAGCTCCATGATTTCCGTGATACAACCAGATCAAAGGGTTAAGGTAGAAGGAAGAGATACTGGGGGAGATGCAGAGGTATCTTGAGAAAATGGAAAGAGAGCAGAGTGAAGGACTATTTTGGAATGAGTTGAGAGAGAAAGACCTTATCGCTATCCTTCCTGTCTGGCCTCAAGTAGAGGGTGGTCCAGTATGAATCTGAGAACTGCTATCTAACATTCAAACTTATAGGCACACACAGTTTTATAAATTGGCACAGTGTTAATAGAGGGGGGCTTGCTCCCTACTAAGGATTGAATAGAAGGTAGGAAAGATTAGATTTGGGTTTTCGGGTTCACATGATACTGTGGTTTTAGGAACTATGAGTGGAGTGGTCGCTCTTGGTAACAAATACCCTTTTCTGTGAGGGTTATGTTGTTATAGAGCAAAGCGATCGAAATATGATGAACTTTTGTCAACTACCAGCTGTTCCCTAACCTAACCAGCTAAACCAGGTAGGCAAACATAAGGCAGGTAATAAGGCTACCTTTCCCCGAGAGCTGTACGACGTTTATAACCCTTTTTTGACATTTTCTTCTATAAGGTGTATGGTTTATATTGTATGTGGACTCTCCCAATTGCCATAATGCCAAACGAATCGGATATTAACATGATATATTGTCTATATCAAGAAGTACTTTTCATATAAAGAAAATCATATGTCCATAGCACTTCCACTTACAAACTGCATATACGGTCTTAAAAAGTAAGCAGTAAACAGGATAACATAAACATCTAAAACTTATACAATACACACACACGCTTGTAAGACTGAACAACTAAACATAACATCCATCAAAAACTGACATTAATAAATTCCAAAATAGCAAACAGTCAAAAATACGGACTCACCCTGTCAGTCCTGTCATTCATACGAGCGTCTGCAGGGGGCAAGTCCGGAAGGAATGCGCTTCGTTCACATCTCGCTGACAGCTTTGTCGCTAAACAAAGGCATGTCAAAAGAGCGAAGATTCAAAATTCTC